GCCAGGCCACACCCTTGCGGTTCCAGTGGACCACCCTGGGGTGGGGCCTGAGGGTCTGTATTACTATGGCTTCCAGGTCATGCCTGCGCTGCTGGCTCAGGGACCACCCTTTGAGAATGACTGCTCTGGCCCAAAAGTGAAGCCCTGATAGAAAACGCAGTCTCGGATCTCACCAGCTTGAAATGCAGATTCTTCAACTTCACCTTAAACCTGCTGAATCGGAAATTCTGGGGGCGAGGCCCATAACTAATGTTAGAACAAGCCCTGGGGTGATGCTGATGTCACTGAAGTGTGGGAAAGGAGGAACAATCCTGACTCAGGAACTGATTTCATGGAGAGGCCAATGCTGAGGTTTCTCCACGTCCCACCTTAACATTCTAGAACTGCTAGCTGACAGAGCAGGAATTTGAGAGAAGCCACAGACGGTGCCAGCTACCACAACTACTGACTAGGGTCACCAGAGAAGGCCCTGGGGGAAAAGTAGAACAAACTTCAAAATAAGAAAGTAGACCAGACTTATCTGTCTTATAGACACTGGTGGAACCCCGAAACGATGGCCCCAGACATCCTTCAAACTTCGAACTGAACATACTCCAGGGATCACTTTTCAGCCAAACAACAGACAGTCTTATAAAGTGAACAGTAACACCCTGGAGGAATGTGCTCCTCAGAACAATCAACCACACAAAACCGAAAGAGCAGCATTTGCCCCAAAACAAAGTTCAGAAGGCAAGAGGGGTCAGGAAAGATGGGTGAATGGAAACAGGAAACCCAGGGAAGGAGAAGGGCGAGTGCTGTTACATTGAAGGGCTGGTAAGTGATGCCACAAAACAGATGTAAACCATGAAATGGGAAAAATAACTGGCTCTGCAAACTTTCACCCAAACCATAATTGTGTGTGTGTGTGTGTGTGAGAGAGAGAGAGGAAGGGAGAGCCAGGGAGCCCACAGATGGGGCTGGAGGGCATGGGCCAGCTCACACAGAATGAGGACGTGAGGACGAGGAGGATGTGGCTCAGGAAGCCAAGAACAGCAGGAGGGGGAGAGCACGTCTAAAGGAAAATCTGACTTACAAACAAGAACTAGATGGTGAGGGGGTGAGTGTGTGCGTATCTCATGGAGAAGAACAAGAAAGACGGAACTTTTCCAGGAAGAAAGGGCCAAATGCTGGTGGATTCACTTCTGAGGGCCCAAGCACAAGACGAGGCCTCAGAGAACAGCTCTATAGATGGTTTTGAGTGGCCAGCACACTGAGAACTCACCTCACAGGAGGGGGCTGGACCCTAAAAAGCTTCATGATCTGCTCCAGTGGGCAGAGCTGGAGGACACAATGGCAGACAGTGACTGGTGACTCACTGGCGACTCCCTTGTGAGGAAGGCCTGGGTTCTGTTACCTCAGTACCGGCACCACATGCCTCCAATCCTAATGTTGTTGTCAGGGGACATCACCTGTCTCATAGCAACCCCACGTAGGCTAGACCACCACGCCGCACAGCCTGCACCGTGCTCACAGGCACTGTTGCTGCTTCTGTGTCAATCACCTTAAGGGGCTTCTTCCTTCTCCCTGGCCTGGCACTAAGTATGATGTCTTTCTCCAAGGACTGGTCTCTCCTGAAAACAAGTCCAAAGTCTCACCATCCTCACCTCTCCGGAGCATTCCGACGACCATCCAAATAGCTCATGACATACCCAGGAACACGGAGCACTTGGGGCCTCTAATCTGTATTTGCTGGTTTCCTTCTCTCTCCTAGAAGCAGTATCATTTTTTCTTATCTGGTCACATAAGTGATTTTGGGGAAACATGGTCCTAGCTCTTCGCTATGGAGAGGTTGTTCCTGGGCTGTGTTGTGAGGAAGGAAAAGGAGAGGGTAACAGGTTTCATCATAAGGAGCTTTGGTGATGCAGTGACTAAAGCATCCAGCTCTTAACCAGAAGGATAGCGACTTGAACCCACCAGCTGCTCTGCGAGAGAAAGGTGGGACAGTGGGTTTTAGCATAAATTCACAGCCTCGGAAACTCTCCAGTACAGTTCTCTGTGCAGCGACACGGAATCCATGACAGTGAGCCTGGGATCTTTTGTTGTTGTTGTTGTTGTTGTTGTTGTTGTTGTTATTAATATTATTATTAAGACATGTGTGGCAAGCATATCTACATTCAGTCTCACACACGTCGTATACTTGTGGGTGTCCCTCCTGGTCCAGTAGCTGGCATTCCTTTTGGCCCCTCGGCGGTCTCCATGGTGATGGATGGACAGCTGCCCTAGCCTCCTCTGGGACACAGGACGCCTGGCCAGGCAGGCAAGCCATTCATAGAGTTCAGCTCCCTTTCAAGCAGGCCTCTGAGCTGTGATGTCCCAGAGCTTCACCTTACCAGCTGATGCCCTTGCCGGACAGTGAGCCATCCCTGCTGTCCCAGGCCCCTGGGCTGTCACCCTCCTTCGATTCATTTGATCCAACAGCTGAGACTTTCCATGGAAGTGGCAGGGAGGTGAATCTCTTCTTGCCGCAACAACAGGACCAGTACAGACCAAGCACAAGACAAAGCAGCATCATTTATGAAACATTTGTTTTGTGGTAGACATAGTCACATACATAACTGAATTATCTATTTTATAGAAGAAGAAATCATGTCCCAGAGAGAGGAAATGGCTTGCACCAAGAGTCCAAGAGAGAAGAAAGCCGTTTTCCAGCTCCTTTAGCTCATCAAGCTTGCTCCTGCCTCAGGGCACTTGTACCAACCGGCTCCTCCGCTCCCCAAGTCCTCCTTCCCAAGTCAGCTCTGTCCTTACATTGATGTCTCAGCTGAGTGTCAGCTCCTCAGAGCAGCCAACTCAAAACTTCATAAAAGTCGTTTCTCTACCTTGTTACCACTCTTTCCTCCTTTATAATATTTGTGTCTGTATTATGACATGGTATGATATATTTTTATGATCTCTTTTGTGGGTTAACGTCAGTCTCATTAGTTTAGCGGTATTGAGTATCTTGTCTGTCACATAGGAGACCAGAGTTCAATTCACTGATAGGGTGGAAGATGCTCTTTTAAGAAGCCCTGGACGTATTGGGCTGATAACGAGAAATGTTGCAGGTTTGAATCCACCAGTCGCTCCATAGGAGACCCCATAGTCTGCTTCCCTTAAAATTAACAACCTCATGTTACAAACACGCTGGAAGGCAGTTTGGCACTTCCTCAAAAAGCTGAACATAGATATTCCATTTGACCCAGCTATCCCACTACTAGGAAAATACCTCTAGAAAATTAGGACTGAGACACAGAGATTTTTACACCAATACTCATAGCAGTGTTTTGGTTTTTTTTTACCATTTACCATTGCAATAACACAGAAACAGCTCAAATGTCCAACCACAATCTAATGGACTGAGAAATTGTGGTATATTCACACGATTACCACACAGGACTCAGGAGAAATGAGTTTGAAAATTACTACATAACTTGAGAGGGACTGGGAGCATTATGTTGGGTAAACTACCTCAGTCTTATAAGGACAAATACTGCATAAAAAGCATTACTGTGGAAATAGGGAACTAGTAAAAAGTGTGTGGGGATCCAAGGGGGGATGGGGAGCAGAGAGGTGAGGATGAGCAGGGGTCACATTATAGGGTCACACAATTTGTTGGGTGGAAGGAGGGAGGGGGTAAAGGAAATGGGAAAGATCCAGCAGTAATCTGGAAAGGCAGGGTAACGGTGGACATAGTTCAACAGTGATTAATTCTATCAAATGTAATGAATGGGAATGATTTTATGAAACACAATGGGAATAAAGGATAGGGTGAAACACAATGTATACAAACTTGGCAATCAAACTAAGATAAAATAAAAATTAACACCAACACACACAAGATGAACAACCTCAGAAACCTGGTGGACAGTCACCATGAGTTGGATTGACCCACTGGCAGTGGGATGTGGGTTAAAACTTTGTCTCTACAGCCCCAGTGTCTAGCGCAGAATAATAACAGCAAGTAACACATTCAGCACTTTCTACATGACAGGCGCTGGACAAGCACTTTGCAGACGTAGTAATTCATTTCATCCTCACAATAGCCCTCTGAGGTGGTGGCTGGTGTTGCCACTGGATGGATTCCAATTCACACCAACCCCATCTGTCCCAGAACTGTGTGCTGGCTTTTCAGAAGCGTGTCACCAAGTCTTTCTTCTGAGGCATTTCTGAGTATATCTGAACTGCTAACCTGCCAGCTAATAGTTAAGCACTTAACTGTGTGTGTGTGTGTGATACGTGGACTCAGGCAAAGAGAGGCATCACTCCATCACACAGAGGAAAAGACTGAGACCCAGAGATGTGAAGTCACTTGTCCAAGGTCACACAGCGGTGAAGCTGGGATTTGAACCTGTGCAGTCTGACTTCAGAGTTCATTTCTCAGCCACTCTGGTCAGCTGCCCTCCCCACAGCCAAGAAGTGAATGAGCCAGGATTCAACCTGGGCAGTTGGGTGCCAGTGTCTGGTTGGCACATTGTTTTGTTGTGTACCATTGAGTTAGAACTGATCCCTAGCTGACCCATCAGCAGACTTTCAGAGGAAGTTGATCATATATATAGGAAGAGACCGCTCATCTTTCACCCACGAGCAGCTGGTAGATTTGAACTGTGTACCTTTGGGCTGCCAGTGCAACTCCTTACCACTAGGCCACCAAAGCTCCCTGGCACATAGAAGGTGCTTTAAACACCTTTGGGGAACTCTGGGATGACACAGTCATAGTGAGTTTCACTACTAATATCCCAAAGGCTGTTCATCTCTAGCAGTTCAAATCCACCAGGGGCTCTTTGGGAAAAATACAAGCAATCTCTTCCTGTTGCGATTTACACTCTCAGAAACCCCATGGAGGGTCACTAGGAGTTGAAATCAACCTGAAAGCAGTGGGTGAGAATGAATGAAAGAAGGAATGAGTGACTCTGGAGCCGGCTATTTCTCCTCTCCTGTGGTGCTGCCTAGCTCCCAGCCTACTCCCCGGCCCTCACTCTTACCTCCATTGGAGAGTTGCGGGGGTACCACTGGCACCGCTGATGCAGCCTTGCCAAGGGGTGTCCAGGGGCCAGGCCTCCCAGTCAGGCCAGCCCCAGGTACCTTCACGGGGCCAGAGGAGCTCTTGGAACAGCCAGGCCGGGCCTCGCAAGCTGCCCGCTTCACTTCTTCAGCCACAGCCACATCTCGGCGAGGGGGTGCCAGGGTGATAAAGACAGACGAGGCGATCCTCTTCTCCGATTTAGTGGCCATTGTCTTGGCTCCTGGGGACGGAAAGACTCATGATCAGACTTGAGCAGAAAGCAGGGCACAGGGTAGGAGATATAGCCCCTCTGGATTCCATGCAGGGGGAACAGTATCTTCTCAGCCTCACCCAGCCACGGAAGAGGAGGCCAGGTGTTCTCCAGGAGCCCTGGTGACAGGGATGGGACCCAAACGTCCTGTAGGTGCCACTCCCTGAGTTGCACACATGGGGAGGCAAAGGGCAGCCTTGCCCGTTCCCCTTGCCAATGATTAATCTTCCTCTTCTTGAAGCAAGAGGAAGTAACAGTTCCTCCAGCTGCCTCCTCCCTGCACACAGCTGGCCACCAGCCCCCGCCCGGAGCCTCACCTGGGATCTGGAATCTCCAGGGAGAGCCAAAGTCCCTCCAGCCAGGGCAGCTCCTCTGTAGGAAGGAAACAGAACATGGACAGCAGGTCATCAGGGCTGGGTGACAGAGGCAGAGGGACAGGATTACAGCAGCTACTGCTGACCAGAACTGCCCAGCGCCAGCACTGGTCTCTTCACTCTCCACTCACAAATAATAGCCATGCTCCTGGGGCATAAAATCCCGTCACACAGGAGAAGACTGAGATTCAGAGATGGGGCGTCACTTGTTCAGGGTCACACAGTGGCAAACCTGAGATTTGAACCTGTACAGTCTGATTTGATAGTTCATACCCTCAGCCACTCGACTCAGCTGCCCTTCCCCAGACCAGCCCACAAGTCAACACCAGGGCTTCACCTTGTCTCCCCTCTCAGCCCACATCCAATCAAGTCTTGATGATTCTCTTGCCTGAATTTCTCGCCCTGACATTTTCCAAATCAAGGTCTTGGTTCAGGCACAGCTTTCTCCATTGATAGTCCCTAATGCCACCTCCTAAGCTGCTTCTGGAGCGATCTTTCCAGAGTATAAATCTGACTGTTTTGTCTCTTCTCAAAAGCCTTCCATCGCTCCCTGTTCGTGTTGATTGCCATTAAATTGAGCACAACTCATAGCAACTCTATGAACAAAAAGCTGAAGCCTTTTAATAACTATCGACATTCATCAAAGTTCATAGAGTTTTCAGAGGTATGTGATTTAGGAAGTGGATGCCACTCCTGCTTCCAACATAGCTCCCTGCTACCTTCAGAATAAAGTCCAAATTCTCTAGTCAAAGCCTCTTTTTGACCACCCTGGACCACGTACTCTCTTGAAGGTGTCTCTGCCCTTTACTTACCTATGAAGGTTTCTGTACCTGTTTTTCTCTCCCGCTCCAACACAGTGAATTTCCACTTACTCTTACAGGCTGAGTGTCTGAGCCCTTCCCTGGGGCAGCTGTCTGCTGCCCCAGGGTGCTGATAGCCCTGTCACAGGCCACTCTGGCTCTCTGTCCCTCTCCCAGTGTGTGTGCCCTCAGCCACATGCAGAGCCAGCTCACAGTGCAGGCATCAAATCTGGGGCATGTCTGGGGAAATGGCAGCACCCCGGCAGGCATCAAGGACTGCCCATTTGCCATTTCTTAGGTGTTTCCTGCAGACAGTAGCCTGCGGTGAAGGCTGAGGCAGTCTTGGGTGGGGCAAGTCAGTCACCAGGAGCCTCCCTGGGTACTTAAGGTTTACTTCCTGGGATAAAACTGTGCCCCTTTTTTTCCCCCTACCCTTCCCAGCTCTGCCACCCTGACATGGCCCCAATGGTGGACCTCCAGGACTGCCTACACCTCTCTCAAAATCCACTTCCCCACTCCTCTGTAGTGACTTTCTCTCACTGCCATCAAATTAGTTCCAACCCATGGCTGACCCTCCACTGGGTTTCTGAAACTATAAATCACAGTGGCGGGGAGCCTCTGCCTCTCTTCCTCCTCCCCTTGTTGTTGCAGGGGATTTGAACCACTGGAGGCATATGGCTGCTGGTTTAGCAACGCAGCTCACTATGGGCGAGAGCTACACTTCCAGATTTCCTCTTCAATGACTCAAAAGTCATTGCTGTCAAGTCAGAACTGACTCACAGCTGACTTTCCAGTGGGTTTTTGGAAGCTGTGATTCGCCAAGGAGACCACCCATCTCTCTTCTTCCAGCTGGTGGATTCGAACTACCAGAGAAGCGTGACCTTCCAGGCAGCAGCAAAGTTCCACACAGACTCCACCACTATCAGAGTTCTCCTGCTGACTAGGGGATAATAATAACAAAATCAACAGTGGTATTCACGGATAAAATACTTGCTCCGTGCCAGGCATTGTGCCAAATGCTTTACATGCCTCGGAACTTACCTAATTTCCAACATAATTATAAGTAAGCTCCATTATGCCCCCATTTTACAGACGAGTAGTGTGAGCGCCAAGAGTCTGAGTGATTGGAATTCTGAATATCATTTGATCTGAAAGTTCAGGGGGTGACCAATGAAATACTGCTTCCTCCGGAGACACACTTCTTCCCTGGATGTCACCGGTGTCTGCCTTCACCCCAGAATGATCCAAATCGGAGGAGAAATCCTGTGGTCAGCACACTCTGGCTGTCCACAGGGACCTCAGCGGAACTTCAGGAAGCCCTCCACATCCTACTTGCCCAGCTTTGACTCCCCTCAGCCCCGCTCCCAGCCCAGTGGCTCCAAAAAGTCCGGTTGCCTACTTTCTTGGAAGACTCCCGGTCTCACATCCCAGTGATGGAGCCAGCTGTGCACAGCTGGGCAGCCCCTGGCCCCTCCCTCCCACTGGGCACTGCTGGGACTCCAGGCCCCAGGGGAAGGGCCTGAGCTGGGTGGGGCTTTCCAAAGTCCTGTCAGGCCGCGGGAGGGGACGGGATCCCCAGCTTCCCTAGGGCCCACTGTCCCTCTGATCACTCTGCGGGGTAAGTGTGAGAAAGTTCCCAGTGGGGAGGTCTTCCAGCCAATGGGGCCCATGGACCCTCCACTCCCACCCTTCCTCTCCCAGAGGGCGAAACCAAGATTCAGTTGGGTAAGCGGAGAAAGTGGGAACAAAGGGAAAGAAAGTCATTTCCTGTTAAGAGGAAGGAAAGAGGCAGAGATCCAGCCAGCCACCTAGCCTGTCTCGGGGGTCACAGCCTAGGCATAGCACTGGGGCTGGCTGGTAGAGGGACACTCCAGGGGCTCCAGGAAGAGCCCCCTTCCTGCTGCCCCTCCCCTCCCCCAATCCAGCTCGGAACCACCTCTAAGTTTTGTTCTTTAACGTCTCTATAAAGCTGCCTGTTTCTGTGGGGTTGAAACTTCACTGTAAGTAGGGCTGTGTCTCCTTGCACCCCCCTCCCCTGCAGAGGCTCAGTAACCCAGCACAGGGGTGCCTGCTCTTTCTTCAGCCCCGGTGAAGCAGGGTAGGGGGAGCATAGAGATCTGGGCACATATTGCACCCACCTTTCTGACTGGGAACCCTTGAGCAGGTCACTGACCCTCTTTGGTTTCGCTCTTTTTTCCATAAAATAAGAATCATGCAGTCGAGAAGATGAAAGGAGTGGGTAGCCAAGATGTGGGTGCTCGGTAGGTATCGAGGGGAACAGCTGCTTACTCAGCCCTCAAGGCGCTCAGGGGCTGGGCTCGGCTGGGCTCTCCAGAGGACTGGACCCAGAGACCACCATTGTTAAGAGCAGGAATCTGGGCGCTGCCTCAGCCTCTTCCCAGGGTCCTCTGATCTAGGCTGAGAGTGGTCACTAAGGGGCACACCTTAGGGTTCACCTGGTCCTTCGGCTTCCCAGTTCCAAACGGGGATTCGAGGCAACCCTGAGCCCCTCCTTTCCCTCGCCTGACCCCAGCGGGGAAGGCCCCCCTCGGCGTCCGCAGAGCTCCGGAAAACCCAGCGGCCTCCCGCAGGCGGCGGAGCAGAGCCGGTCGGGTGGCGGTGGGGCGCCAGCCGGGGACTTTTAATTCGATCCATGTGCGGGACGCTGCCTCTTTGTGCGGGAGCCTCTCGCTGCCGCGCCCCTTCCCCGGCGCCCCGCGCCCCAGCAGAGGCACGACCCTCCCTCCCAGCCGCGAGCCCTCCCCGAGACCTGCGTCCCCCTCCCCCACTGTGGGGACAGAGACACAAGGACAGGATCTCTCTGACCCCTAATGTCCCGGGGGGCCCCCTCCAGGAGCGCAGGAGCTGGGGTCCTGGGCGGGGATCCCGGCTCGGGGGTAGGGAGCTCCGGTCAAGGGCAGCCCGTGCTGTCACCTGTGTGTCGTGGGGCGAGAACAGAGGACTGACCCCCACCCGCTTACCTGGTGTGCGCGCCCGGGTCGGCGCCGACGGCGGAGCCCAAGCGCAACCTCGAGAGCAACGCGCGCCTCCCCGCCCCTCGCTCCCTCCGCCCCCCGCCCGGCGCGCCGCCTTACCATAAAAGGTGACGCTGCGGGGAGGGGGTCTGGGAGCCCCGCCGGGCGGAAGGGGCCCCCACCTGCCCGGCTGCACCCGCACCGCCCCTCCCCGCCCCCTCCCCCTCTCTTTGTTCTCTCCACCCCCTCATCCCTTCTCCCTTGGCCCAAGCATGGGGGCCAGGAGTTCTCCTCTGCTGCCCACCCTCCACCCCACAAAACCTTTGTGCTCCTGGAGGGGTCATTAGTGCACTCGCCTCTGACCACCTACATAGCTTCCCCACCTGTTCGGTCAGGTGGAGGTGGGGTGCTAAACTCCAGATTTGCCCTGGGGTCTGGATTCTAGGGCTAGGTGTGACCCTGGTAATTCACTCCACCTCCCTGAACCTCGGCTTCCTCATTTGTAAAATTGTGATAACACCTGGCAGACCTGAAGCTAAAAGGCGAGACAGCAAAGCACTATATGTATATATTGGCCGAGGAGATTTTTCTGGGGTGTCTTTAGGGGATGCCTTGAAGATCGAAGATCACAGTGGGGCAGGTCACCTCCCTTTGCTATACTATACTGTGCTGTCTAGACCCCTCCAGCCTTCCTAGTGGCCAGAAGGGACACGAGGCTGGGAGGCAAGGCCCAGCTGGCCATTAGGCCACCAGATTTGCCAACCCCAGGTCCTGTCAGCTGACCTCCTGTCTCCAGTCCCCAGAGTTCTC